AGATCTCAAAAGTTTTGGATGGTTTGAAGCAGAAGGGAAGTGCAACTGGCTGCCAGCTGCTGAGACAAAATGGTTAGGTTTCTTTATGAATTCGAAATCTTATGAGATCTCGATCTGAATGGATAGAACTCAAAAACCCCTAGCTATACTAGAGCGCATGCTTTTCGAGAGAGCTCCATCCTTCCATATCAGGATGAGATGGATGGGCACGTTGGCTTCAATGAGTATAGTAATTTCAGATTTGAACGAGAGGCAATCCAGAGCTATGACAGCATCGGTGGCAGAGGCACAATCTCGTGAGTATTCTCTCAGCTACAGGTGGACGTTGTCCAGCAGAGAAAGGAGGGAGATATCTTACTGGATAGACAGCCTAACAACGGGAATATCAGTATCGCTGTACCCGCCAGCAAAGCCACCCGAACCCAATTTTATCATAGAAGTGGATGCGTCAGCACACTCGGTGGGGGCCGTACTCAAATAAGGCGGTGGACATCAAAGCACACACTACCCTTCCGGAGACACTAGTGACGGCCTACAGTACGAGCAGAGAGCTTTCGCGATACACTTCGGGTTACTAACCTTCGGTCCCACACTTTCAGGGGTCTGCTGGTCAGGTGTGATAACCAGGCAGCATGTAGGATTTGCAAAGTTGGTAGTAACATAGAGAGCCTACAGAGACAAGCAGAAGACATCTGGGAGCTGCAGAGCCATTTAGGGCTGGCGGAAGTCAGGGTAGAATGGATCCCAAGAGAGCGGAACAGGCTTGCGCATAAAGAAAGTAGACAGATTTCGATAGCTGAGGAGTAAATAAAAGAAAAAGAGAAAAAAAAAAAAAAAAAAAAAAAAGACGAAAACGCCACTGGGGAGTAAATGAAAGAAGCGGCGAAACATGTAGCTGAAGGAGAGGTGGTCGTACACTGTGAGATAAGAAATTTGCAACGAAAAATTCAAAGATTCTTTTTCTAGGAGCTGGTGCTCACCGCACATCGTGATCAATGTGTGCATAGGTGAGTGCTCCACCAATCGGTGGGTCACAGATCAACCATCCATAGATGTCGCCACCGTACTCCCGCGCCAGATGAAAACGCGCGGGAAACTCCCGCACCCCTACTTCGAAATCAATGAGAGGGGCAGTCCAGCTCTAGCGAGCGCCAAAAACGGTCGTCTCCCCCGGCTACCGGCGACACCTGTGGACGTCTCACGTTCACCCCCGTTCTTCGCTCTTAATTAATCAAATTTTGTTTCAGCATCAAGTTTTTTCGGGCCAAGTCCCCCACGTTTGTTCTTGTTGTCGTTATTGTTTATCGTCCCCGTCGTTATAGCGAGGCAAGACTCGCGGAAGATTTTTTCTTTAGTTCTTTTATTGTTGCTGCTAACTCGGGTGAGTGTCACCACGAAACACCAGGGCAAGGCTCCATTTATCGAATAATCTTTCCAGAAGAAAACTTCGTTGTTACTTGTTATTAGCATTCACATATCGTCGTTACTATTTTTGCGGCCTTGCGCCCCCTCTACGAAGAGATTTTGTGGACCTACTATACCCAAGAGAGGTTAGTTAGTTTTTTATTCCCTCCTTACGAGGACCAGGTAGAACACCAAGGCGCGACGATCGGTTAAGTAGACACCACTGAACCACCACACGCCCACGAGACTGATCGTCGCCACAATCGACGCTTTTCTCGCAACAATTGCTTGGTCAGGACATCCCCTATGGTTAGTGCCTCCTCCTAATTTGGTGTCCAAAACCTTGTCTTAGGCTCGACATTTTGGCTCTTTCGGCTTATTAGGGTGCCCCTACTGGCCGTGATGGGAAGAACTGGGCGAATTTCGTGAAAGACGGGGCCTTCTTCCCCGTCGGTTACAAGATATTCACACCGTGCCCTCACTCCAATATATTCAATAGTGAGTTTTCGAGGATAAGATTCATGTTCCTTCTCATAGACTTTCGAGAGTCTCCTTTCCCACAAAAAGCTCTGACTTTCTAACTGTCCGCCGGCGTTTGAGGTCCACAAATGCTCTTATCCGGTCTATTTATCCCATAGCGATAGCGGAGGGATAAGTAAACATTATTCTAGCGCGAACGGGAGCGAGTTTTCGAATGAGTACGAGGAGCCCAGAGTCGATCAAGTGAAGTTCTTCAAAGAGTACGAAGCGAGGAAACAAGTAATAGAATCAGTGGGGACCGTTCTCGAAGCCTTTCCGTACCGCCGTTTCACACAATATTTGGAAGGTGTCAAACCGTGGCGTACTTGCATCTTTTGCGGTACACGAGCAGCGCATTATTCGGACTCGTGTCCTACGGTTCGGAACTCGCTAGACCGCGAACAAGTCACTTTCGCGCTCAAGCTCTGCAGACACTGTATGGAAAACTGCGAAGGGAGCAAATGCACCAGAGCGAGACGGGCTGGTGCTGGTATTGCACCAAAGTCGAAGGAACGCTCTTCAAAAAAGTCTGTATACTATCGTGAATCAACGGCATGTGTCCGTGCTTGGTCGACTAGGGAGGACCTGAAGCAAGATTTTAGACAGCGCAACCGCAGATGGGTTGTGGGAACATGAGGCCTTTCCGTTCGCAGGCGCCGGTCGTGTGGGGAATAGTCACGGCTTTGTTCATTCGCCGTCATTACACGCCTGAACTAGAGAGGAGTGATCATCGTAGTAAGTCGGATGCAATCATCGCGCGGCGCGCACGGGCCATAAAAGGCGCCGGACCGGAAAAAAAACCGACAATGCAGGCATTTCTTTTTTCGAATATTGTAGTTAGATTGCTTCCTTATCATTCAGAAAAATTCTTGTGGATTACCTAAGTTTGAGATCGATAACGTTTGTAACGCAAGGGACCGGCGGAGCGGCGCATTGCCGTTGGTGGCCTCACAACGCGCAACATAAAATCCTGGCGAAGCATTTCAATTTGCAAATTGTATATACTTGAACCTCTAGAAATTAGTCTGCATCAATACCCTGAAAAACTGATTTTTTATAATTTATTCACCACTAGTGGACGGAATTAATTATTATTTCCCCTCATAATTTTGCCACTACATTTTGCTAATAAAATTGAAACGCAAATTTGATCCATCTATCTTTCGTATTGCTCAGAATAATTGACTGCCTAACTAGCTAGCGACGGAAAACTCGCCGCGTCGGCACCTGGAATCAGCTTCTTAATTGAATTACTCATGCTCATAAAACACTGGTTTCGACTGGCACGGAAAGAGCTATGCGCCGTTAACATCTGAGATGCTCCACGGATACACCTATCACCTAGGCGCCGACGAACCCGACAGTAGATCCACGAGACAGGTTATTTTGGAAGTTGGTCGATTGTCCAGCAAAAGACAATTGCTACCACAAACATAGTGTTGTCTTGTCAAGTAATGTAGCAGAGGAGAATCTCTGTGGTAAGTGGGCCCTTTGCTATGCAGTTTTGTTCGCTACGGACGCTGGGGCGTGTCAGAGACTGGGTTTGGCGGGCGCCAGCCACTTTTCCATCAATTGCGGTCACCAACCGGCTTTCACAGTTTGTGGAGAACGGATTAGAGCCGCGAAAACGAGCCCCCTGCAACGCCTCAGCGTCTGGAGGGAAATCTTTCGCTCACTATCAGTTCTGTCCCCCACTTTCGTTATTGTATATTTCCTCAGAACTCGTGGGCCTCTGGATACACCAGAAACCGTAGAAATCCTTTTCCTGCCTTGGAATCCGCACCTCTCAGACCGATTGGCGGCGCGCTAAAGCCTCTTCCCAAAACACGCCTCTTCATCCGTAGCGAACAAGCTCCGCTCTATACTAGCTTTTGCCCATAGTACATTCCAGATAAGAACGAACCTTTGAAGGTACCATATGAATACGTCGGTCTTCATTGATTGCATTGCAAAGAGCCTCGTTTTTCTCATTATCGCTCTGGAAGTTTTATATTAATCACGAATTTCTTGACCAATAGTATGCCACCCAAGGGCATATTACTGGACATTCAGCCTTGGCAGGCCTCTGGCCATTTTACTGTAATAACGAAACCAACGACATACGTTCTTAATTCGGAAGCACACTAGGCCAAGATGTTGTGGAACAAACAGTTCAAAATCGTCATCTTCTTCGATGAGTCTTGCGAAGAAAGCCGCCAAGTCGTTTTGCTACAAGAATCAGCCCTCCGATAATTATTTTTGGAATAGGACTATTTCGCGCACCATTCGTAATGTCTTCTGGATGAATCCGACGCCAAGTCGACGTAATACGAACCATATTTTGAGTGCTCGAAACCGTCGTCCTAATGCAACTTGTAGGTGCTGTAAAGTCTCAGATGACCGTTCGAAAGCTTAGCGGCATTTCAGAGCTTGTATAGATGTTTTACTCTAATGTGAAATGCTAACTATGTTAGCAAATTCCTCTATCCAGGTTATCTTTGGAACGATGTAGATCTCAAACGACTCTGTCACTAACCCTATAGTCTGCTGCAACTGCTTGATGTTCATGCTTGAGATAAAAGTGGATCGACATTGAAGTACTTCGTAGCGGTAACACCGTCTTTGAACCTAAAAACACTGTTTCAGCTTGCTCGTCTGCGCTCTCCAATCGTAATAGCGGTGTCTTAGGCAGCGTTCAGACTTGTAGCGCTAACAATTCAAATCAGACAGCCCAGATTTCCTTTATGTTCATACTTTCGGTATCAATCCTTTTTTCTTGTTTCTTCCCCATTTCATATCTGATTCTTAGCTCCTCTTCACTTAACATTGAGCTTAAACAATTTAAAAAGAACGGAAGATTACGAGAACGAAGACAATTTCGTGATCCGGATCAATTGATGAACCACTGCAAGACATCAGCAATGAATAGCGAACAATGAGACTGAATAACTAAAGTCGAAAACGTGCTAACTATAATCATAATGTAGCGCGATCAGTGAAAGCGCTTACCTGTCGCGCAAAGTCTGAAACACTACCGTAAGCAAGCGTGGGTGGCGTCCAGGACTTTGCGATGACGTTGTCGACTATCGCGCGGCCTTTGTAGAGAGTTCCGAAACGCGAGCAGTAGACAAACCAAAGTGGACGTGCAAGCCTAGTCTTCTCGCCTCTTCCGTTCCCGATTCTCTCACTCCGAGTACACTGCGTGAGGTGTACATTTGTAGCGACGCACACAATCTTGCAGAATATTCTCTAGTAACTGACTCAACGCAACTCCTCATTATAAAAAAAAAAATTAATTCGCCTAGGTGTGTGATAAGTGGTAGACAGATAAGGTTTTGGTGCTAATGTGTTTGAGTCAGGTTCTTGTAAAACCTCTTGTGGGAGCCCCCCTGTAACGACCCCACACTCGGGCATGGCAGAGTGACCGGGTGGGACTCATTCAACTGCAGGGGGGGGCGGACGCCGCACGTCGAAATGTGCGCGCCGTTGCGTACTGACTTCTTGCTACACTGCTGTCTGGTGCGTGTTCAGTCCATGACATCCGAAAAGCAATCGTTGAATGACTTCGCTTGTAATACCTCTTTTGCCAGCCTCGCCGTGGGTGGGCCGCCGCCGCTGGACCACATCCCTCCCTTCTCATCGTCACCCTTCGTTACTGTGGCACCATTGAAAATGCGCCGGTGATTTTTTTTTCTCTTTGGAGCTATCTGGCTGTAGAGCGCTACTTGCCAGTTGCGGTATCACATTACGAGCTGATCTGGACGATAGACTAGTCGCGCAGCGACACTCTTGAGTGCGTTGGGTCCTAGTGCAGCGGGGGCGGTTTCAACAGGCATGGAATGGACCGACCCGAGGCGTTTTTACCACTGCTTGTTTTCTTCATCGACTCTCACCGATCACTATTGGTAGAAACAGAAGTAACAGAGAATCATATTTACAACTATCGGTAGAAAAGGGTGCCAGGGGCGAGCTCGTTCCGCCCCTCCTGACAACGCCCCGACTGATTGTGACGATATCAACTATACCTAAACCAACGCCTGTTTCGCCGCCACTGGTAAGTAACCTTTATACCCTGGGCCATCTAATCCATTGCGTATTGAATGATTTGCTCACCACATAGGGGAGCAGTCGAAGTTCATGAGCATCGCTTTATGTGCATTGAAATTGTAGGAATCCACATACTCCATACCCTTCGACAGATACCGGAATTCAGGGCAGATGAGAAAAGAGCCTGAAATTTGGGTTTACTAAATCACGGAATCAATAGGAAAGTTAGCAGTTCGCATCGGTGGGGGCACAGAATGGTGCTAAGCTAATCTTGTAGAGCCCACCTTGTGAAAACCTGTAGATTCCTGTGACCAAAGTGGCTCACTTGAACCTTTTGCAGTTTTACAAGAGTTCACAGGTTCCACCAGATGAGATCCTCGGTTAGCATAACCAGCAAAAGGAACTAGCAAAAGTGCCCCTCCAAACCGAACAGCGCCAAAAATGTTCAGAAAGAGTTCACCTGCATATGCAGCATCAACGTGAAGATAGATGTGCTCTCGGTTACAAACTGGTCCCAAATCATCCAATCTATCCATTCCACATGACGACGTGGTGCCTATGGTGGCAATCATGATGAACGGTATCAATCCACGGGCACGATCTTCCTGAAAGCAATATGTCACCCTTTTCATAATGCTTAGCATTCGGCTCACATAGACGTTGAAGGCAGTGTGCAATAAGGTGGCTAGAATGTACCTTTATAGCCGTCTCAAGGGTCTCCTTTGTTACAGTATAGTTTTCCAATTGAGGATCTATAGTGCTTCGCAACTTTCGCATTTTTACACCGCATAACATAATACCTTTGTCGACTGATGAGTGTGCCTGGAAGACAGGAATTACTCTTAGGTAAAACTGGGTCGATTTTTGAGGAAGCGAGGGTTTCAGGCGTGGTTGTGCCGGCCGGCTGTGCCAGTACATAAGTTTTCTGCGTTTTACCGTTCCGTTTCATACGCGCCATATCCACCCCCTAGTCTCTAGTTCGTAATCTTCAGCCTTGCTCGCTACGGATACTGGGGCGTCGAGAGGGGGTAGGAGAGAGGTAGATTTGGAGCGCGCCATACCGTTCTCCACAAACTGTTGAAGCCAATGAGCATCAACTCGGTGGAAAACGAGGCTGACGCCTTGCCAAAACCATCCCCCCCCCGACAAGCCCGAGCATCCGAAGCGAATAAGACTGTAATTGCTTTGGGTAGTCAATCGGAGGAGGTTAGCCCCACCCATTCATGGATATTATGAAGGGGAACGTCGTACTAGGGAGAAAGTCCATCACGGTACCAAGCTTGACTCTGCTGCGCGCGTTAAAGTTGCGCGGCTGTGTATCGCATGTCGCGCAAATTCGTCGCGTGAAGTTCCACGCGGGGAAGTGGTGACTTTGCGCGCCGAAATCTAACCCCGATCGAATGGACTAAATAGCAGCATTCCACAAGAATCAGTAGAATAGAATTGTTGAAATTCAACGACTTTTCCAGGCGAATCGTCTCGCTGACCTTTTGAGAAAACGCAGTTTGGCTTGGTGGGGGCACCGAATGATACTCAGCTAAGCTTCCATAGACCGCGAAGGCGGAGTTTACAGATCTGACCAAAGTTAAACCTGTTAGTTAACATGAACAAGCAAAAGGAACGATCGAACAAAGTGGTCCCTCCAAACCAAACACCGCCCTAGTCCTTATCTTAAGAATCCTTATTCAATTTCAATCAACATATGAGTTTTGAAATGATCGCACCTGATCCGAACAATAAGCGATAAGCCTCTCAAAAACCACTGGATCATGGAAGTGTGGAGATATGATGCCAGAATCGTCCTCAGTAGTCTGAAAATAGCATACAGAACTCTTTTTCTGGTGGGTACGATATTAATCACTTTTTATGAAAAGCTGGTATAAAAAGCAGGACTTACTGTATTCTGGCGCACTTTGGCTAGGACATTCTTCACGGATTTACCAAGTTCCTGTATTGGCCATCCATGACAGGAACGATGTCGACTCGGTCTTCACCGCCTTAATAGTGTCATCCAGAACGTCCGTGATAAAAACTTCACTGATAATGCGAAGAAACTAACCTCCACGGCTCTTGCCCTTGCCTGTAAGGATGGCGATCATTGTGGCGTCACTGGCGGTGCTCTGAATAATACCGCATCCGGGGCCAGGATCAGCATTCTGAAAAAGAGCCAAGTGCTCGGTGATTTTCCACGCATCGGTAAGTCATACATTGGGGAATCCGATGGGGAAGGTGTATTTGTTCGCTGGTGGGAGTGGGTCATACCTGGAGGAAAGGTCTTCGGCTGCTGAGTTTCCCGCGCCCCTGCCGCTCGACAGCAGTTTGTTGGGGAAAAAGTGAACTCCAGAATAGCGATAGCAGGTTGGGAAAATTTAGGAAGGCGGTAGGTAGGATAAAGATTGGGAGAGTCATGCCAGAGGAGAAATTTTTGAGGAGGGTCGCATTTGGCTTGAAATTTTCCCCAGCGACAAGACGTGCCCTAATTCACAATCATTATCCCTGCAAACCAAAGGGCGTGTCCAGGGAGGAGGGTGGCTACAAGCGTAACCAGGACAGCCTTTTCCACCAATCGTGGCGGATTTATAATGACATCACTAGTGGAAAATGCCGATCTGACTGCACTGCAATCCACACCCCCTCACAGGTTTTCCCATTTTCAGCGGTAATGAATATGCACGTTCAACGCCCCTCCTGTCCTCGATTTCCGACCAGAGGTGGTTGAACGGTTCAGATGAGCTGTGAAACAAAATATTCGACTAACCTTGAAATGTTCAGGAAGGCCAAGCACGTCCACCAACCAGTCAAGCGTCGCCATTTCAAGTTCTGTCATAGTGGGGCCGGAATTCTGAAGGGGAGGTAAAAACCATTTCATCAGCAGCTAATTATTCCAAAATAGTATTTATATAAATTGCAATAATATATGACCGAAATTATCAGGCAATTAGTAAACGTACCCAGCTAAATCCAATTGTGCTAAGACCTCCACTGAGAATATCGGCCATAATTGCCGGATAGCTGCATGCAGTGGGGAAATAAGCGAAGAAGTGTGGATGGTGCCAGAAAGTATTACCTATGGTGGAACTTGTTACGAACTGGTACTATGAGTATAGTAAGAAAGTATAGTCTTGTTTGCTGAGAACGCTGGGGCTGGGTTTGGCGCGACTCCAGCTCGTTCTCATCCAATTGCCGAAGAAGGAAAATCGACAACAGTTGTTGGAAACATGCTGGTGCCGTGCCAAATCCAGCCCTTCTGAAACGCCCAGTGTCTGCAGTGAACAAGACTGTGTCCTGTACTCATGAAATCGAACTATGCGCTGGTCAAGTTAGACCTGTGGTGTCGGCTGTAGCGCGCGCCAGACTTTTGCGCAAAACGCTAACTATAACTGAGCGAGGTTCTCCAGGGATAGCCGAGTCAACAAATTTAGACTACAGACTACAGAATGTGTGAAATCGTGGTTTCGGTACGACTCCCCCATCCCTTTGATATCTTCTTCGCTACGATCCTCATTGACGATCTACCTACACCCTTCTTATTTCGCGACTCAATCGCGCGAGCTTCCAACAAAGTATGAACGCACTCTCATTGAATTCTTTGAAAATGTGGGGGGGGGAGGGCAGATACCTTTCAGGAACTCTAGGAATAGTAGAGTTTCTGCGCGAGCCAACTATAGGGCCTCTGGAAGCCAAACACAATTCTGCTCCATCAGGGACCAAATACGACTCCCTATTGATGGGTTTCAGCTCAACGATAATGTACGCTGCGAACGGGACGGTTTGGTGGGAGGAAAATTAATTCGAATTGAAAGGTGTGAACGCGGGTATTACGAGCCGTTTCGCCAAGCACTTTCTTCGACCTAGAAACAAATCAGTTTGCTCAGTGGGCTTCCATCACTTGTTATCGTTGTCCAGCTCAAAGAGGGTGTCCAAATGAAATTTTTATCCCGCCGAAAAACGCATCCTCCCACGTCCCAGATAAGGAGTCCATGAAGTGGCTATAGGAAGCTGTTTACCTTGCATGACAACGGGCTCGAGATCTTTGAAAATCGTCTCCCATTCTTCTGGTTCAGACGGTGGATGGAAGGGTACCTATAATTATCGTTTATTACTTATTCAGTTCTTACTGACACAGTTTTTCTTAGACGTAGGTATTAATTTGTTTATCTAAACAACTTTATTGATATTATTAAAAAAGGATGAAGTCCCGCCAGTTGATCAATCCCTTTGTGGAACGCAGCACGCATTCAACCTCCATACAAATCGCACTGGATTATTGAATGCGTTGTGGCGCGCGCGTATGCAATGACTTGCGGGAGCCAGTCGATGTAGGAGTGAGTGTTCTTATCCTCGCGAATTTGGTACCAGTTTACCTCCTCGGAAGGTAGCAAGGCCTTTGGCTGCACCTGGGCGGCGTGTAGTAGCCGGATTTGAACCCAGGACGCGCGATGGCTAGGCGCGTCATTTTGTCAACTACACCACCTCCGCTCGCAATGATGTTAATTGAAATTATTGCAGTATTAACAAAAAACTCAATCCAAGTTCAATCATGCTATTTCGCTATGTGTGCACTTACAACGTCTTTGATATAACCAGGTTTGACGTCCGGTAACGGTTGCCTTTGACGGAGATTTTCCCACATATCCGAAACAAAATCCACCATTTCCTTGCCGTGTATACGAAACTCCTCCGAATTCATGTTGGCAACCTGAAACGTAAAAACCCATAATAGTGTTGTCAAAATATTCAGTAGCAAAACAATTTCTAGAAAATCTGGGCGCACTTCGGCTAAGGTAATGGGGGGGGGTCATTCTGCACTTTCGCTGCTTCAGTAGTACTGGTATACAGGTCTCACTCTGGAAACTCTTGCAAAGTCGAAGCAAACTTGTCAAGCCACCACTATTTTTTGCTCTACGAGGGTTGACAGCATTCTTTGCAGGAGCTGACAAGTATTTCTGCAAGCTGGTATCATGCCGTGACTTCACGATTTCACAAGTCTCCACGTGATTGCTCGACACGTTAATGAGCAGGGAGAGTGCACAAACCCCCTCCCCTTTAGACGAACTTCGCGAAAATCTGTTCAAAGGTGACGAACGGTTCAGTCCTAGCATGACGAGGAATGGAATGGCTTTTTGAAAGCAGTCTAATTTGAGGTACATATAAACGTCAAGAGTGAGCGCTAATCATATCTTTTTCTTTATAAAGAACACATCGCTGAATCATTTATTTGTTTATTTTTATTTATTTATTATTCGCTTCGAGGACGCCCTACAGTGTGACGAGTAAGGCACTACACAGAGCATACAGCGATAATTGAAGACCAAGATAAGCAAGTTCGGAGAGGAGAAAAAAATCAAGTCAATAAATACAAGTGAGTCGGTATTTTGCAAATTTTTTCCGCAACGCCATGATGTGCCTGTTGGCTATGCCTCATTCTGTGGGGGTGGGGGAGGAAGACAGGCCCGGTAAGACTCTGCTTTGAAGGTTTAGAAGGATCTCAAGAGAGAAGCATATGTGTTACTTCGCTTTTGGAAATAGGGCTGTAAAACTTCACGCAGTAGCCAACTATGGAGTAGTATTACTGTATGTAGTAGTATTACTTTCGAACTAGCAGGACGTTCGCGATGAAAACACAGGGAGTTAACGCGTTAACCTGCTCAAAGGCGAAGTAAGATTATGTTCACACTAGCTATGACCCTGCCTCAGTCGGCCCGTGATTGCTCAATCACCATGTACCAGGGTCACGGCGTTGACTATGAGACGGCTAAAAGGCCGTCACGCCCATGCGAGACGTTAGCTAGGTTGCTATGATCGTGCGCCGCAGCTTCGGCCGACGAGGGAGGAGCATTTTGATGTTCCGTTACTTCATTTGTTCCGATTTACAAGTCCATTCTGTTGAAACTGCACTCTTGTAAAACTGGAGCAAGCACGTTACGCCATCATGGTAAAACCTGTCAACTCGAGAAGAAGCTGTCTAGATGGGTTGACGCGTCGTTGGGTAGCAGCACAAGTGCCAAAAATGCCCCCCCCCCCCGTCACTGCGACTGCCGCGGTGATCGCTTGAATATGATCCACAGATCGCTTTCAGCAGTGACCAACGTTGCATAACCCTTCGTCCAGTAAATGAGGACAGCTTTTGGAGAAGTTGATCTGGAAGATCAAGTCCAGGGTCCAAGTCAGTTACTCAACGTCAACGAAACAGGTAGGAGGCACATCTCTTGTCCGGATGGACATTTCTCTCCCCTAAGTACACTTTGGTTGTGTGGGACCATGTTTTTTATGTTCTGTGTTACAATCACGCTGATGCTCCGGTAGGAGATTGTAAGTTTCTGTGTAGGACTAACAATAGACAGAAGCTTCGACATAGCAGTTACAGGGTACTGTATCTTTACCCCCCCCCCCCCCCCCCCCTTCTCCCCTCCCTTCCCCTCTTCGTTCGACGGAAAAGTCTTGGTGAAAAAGTGGAAAAAAAAGTGGTAGGAAGTTGGGAATTCGTAGGAAAGTGAGGAAAGGGGTAGGTAAGTGTTGGGGAAGGGAGGACGTCGCACCGCAGACCCTTCTCCGGGTGGCGGACGGGGTCGTACTGACAGCACCATTTCACACATCACGCTGGATAGACTACAGCTTTCTCACCAAGCCGTGAGAGTGTAGTTCTGCAGAACATTGAAACGAACTCAGCAAAAGTGCACAATATCCCCATCAAGCCAAACTGCGCTCGAAAACCCATCAAGCCAAACTGTGCTTGAAAACAATCCGCTTAGTACCAGTTAAACCTCAATGGAGCTACATGAACATATCTACTCGAAGGAAGAATGCTATCAAGTAACCGCATTCAAGCATTCGAGGGAAAACATGAATGCCTAACTAGTCGTTTTGGGTGCAGCTCCGGAAAAGCTCAATCTCGCTCAAGGTAATGGATCTCTGCCGGCTGACGGATGGTGGTCAAGAAGTAGATAATGACCGAGGGCGGAAGGTGAAACAAGGCGCACTATGACGTCACCGTCATTAACCTTGGTGAAATATAGTTGTAATTACTACTGAAAACTAACCAGTCGTTAATCCATTCCCAAAAAGTTGCCCTCATGCTACTTGTTTTACGTGTCTCTTCGAATTAGTGTCCTCATATGTTATCCAAATTCCCTAGGAGTAAGTGAAAATAGAGCTTCTGGACTTCTGAACAGGTAGTCTGCCAAGCAACTGCTACCTATACCCAAAGGAAAAGATGAAATCTTAGCCGCTGATCAACATCCTTCGTAAGCATGCAGCTTGCAGCCTACTTTCATTTTTTTCAAAAGAATTTTTTTTTTTTTTCCTAAGGCTTACTGAATGCGATGTGGCCTATACAATGACTTGCGGGGGCCAGCCGATGTACAAGTCAGTGTTTTATCCTCCCAGACGAATCTGGTACCATTCTACGGCCCGGAAAAAGAAGGCGCTTAGTGGCCTTGAGCCGAGAAGATGCTGGATTTGATCCTCGCATCGTTGAGCGCATGACGTCCATTTCCCACACCACCTTGGCCTCCTAATTCATAAACAATAGCATTTTCGTTGTCATACTTCTCTAGTAATGGTAGCTTTCAAAAAAGCAGAAATGGACTAAAACTATCAAAATAGTCTGTTTCCTTTAGAATAAACTTGAACATAAGGAAGACAAACGTGTAATAAGTACAAATTCAGAGTTCCGATGATGGAAGAAAAGATGATGGAAGCTCCTTCGGTGGGGGGGGGGCCTCGTCACCATAACCATCTTGAAAAAGATTAATAATTCAAATTTATCCACTTTCGTGCTAGTCGGAATTTTTTCACGGAAAATTCATCACTTTTCTGCCAAATAAGTCTACCGGTGGAAAAAAAAGGGGGATGTGTATAACACATACCAAATGGAAATACTGAGAATGTGCCAAAAACAGTAATTGGAAACACTTGGCTTAAAGGCGAAGTACCCTCCTCCGCCCCCCGCTAGGGATCCCCAGTGTACGACGTGCCCCGATGAACCAACTAGTAGATATTCAGGCTCGATTAATACCTACATTTAGTTAGCGCCAAATCAATGTGGGGTAGCTCCCACGCGTTGCCCATTATCTTTAGGTAAAGTCAGCACGTAGAAGTGCCAGACTGCATAATGAATAAGTCAGCACGTTTTCTCGTAGCAGCGCCCACCTCTAGCTGTGCAGTGACATCATTCAATTTTCGGGCTTTTTGGGAATTATTTTAGACTTAAAACTGGATCGGCCGTCTCAAGGTGCTAAGTGTTGCCTGATAGAATAGAAACAGAGGTTTGATAGCCGGAATGACGATGGGGAAAGCATCAGTGACAGAAAATAGTGAGCGATTAATGCTAATCAGTACTCCTTGCAGCCTCTCCTCCCCAAGAACCGTGAGAATAAAAGTAATTATCAAAGAATCGATAAATATTATTCATGTTTATCGCTGTGTCCGGAGTCTTCAAAGGTGTACCCTAGTCCATTATGACAACTGGTTGTTGACAGTCAGTAAACAGTGAACGTGCTGCAGTTGCGAGGGAATTTTGCAAAGCAATGTCCTATGAAACTTCCCGTTCCAGTACAACCTCCTTTCCTATCCTACTCACCATCTTAAGATGTTTTCCCAATTCCTACTACCTCCCACTCTCAGTATTCTCAAAAATCTCCTGGAACGTGGGGTGGGAAACGCACTTGAAACGGTAAAAAACGAGAACACCAAGAAAGAAAAAATAGAAAATAGAGGAGAGTTCGAAGAATGATCTTCGCTATCAACGGTCCTGATAAGGACTTGAAAGTGCATCGATGAGGGAGACCGCTATTTAGAAAGGAGAAACATAGGGCTGCTTCACGTTTCCACAAAAAGAGGCCATCCTGTTATCACCAATCGCTCCGGACCTGATAAGGACTTAATTGTGCGCTTAGAGGAGAAAGATCGCTCCAGACAGCGGCCATAGAATGAGATAATTCCACGTCTCCGGAGACCATCGACTGCTTAGACAGAGCAGCGCTCTAGGGTTCGGCAAGCGCCAAAATTGTAGTAGTTGAGGCGGGTATTATCACAGGAAGGCCTGAAAAACGAAACTTCTGCAATTCTGCCCGTTATTGTTTTGTCTTCCTAGTTCTAGTTCAATCTTTCTTTTTGAACGTAACTGCATAAAAGGACAGAGTTTCTGCCGTTGATAGATCTCATTTTGGGGATGCGCCATGCATTCTATTTCCGATCAGAGTCGTGTCCTTTGATAGGGCCCTTGCAATGATTTGTGTTCCAGAGTTGATGTCAGAATGCTGTGCCGAGTCATCTGACTAGTAGTTCTAGCTGGTTCGCGCGCTTCGAATGTACTTAATTACACCCGCACCAAGTATATATTCCGGCAATTGCACTTCGTTTTTCTAGTCACTAGTTGACTCACCAATGAACAAAAATGCGGAGGAACTCGTCGAAAACGGCCCAAATGAGGCCCGGTTGGCTTTCAGCATAGACTGAACATGAGAAGAATGGAGATGGGAGTCCAGCGGTGCGGGCGAGAGACCAGCCAACCACGGGCGATAGAACCAGTAGGTGCAGATGCAATGGAGGTGGATATTCATATGTTGCAGGGAGCAAGACTGAAGAAGGCTCGTTCAGAGCCACGTCACTACCTTCTGACTTTCTTACCACGCACTTTCGAGTGGCAGAGTGTGGGTTAAGACGGCCAGAGACTGCGGAGTCGCTTATCACAGACGGGAAAGAATTTCTTGAAGCAGCTTTTCCTGGAATATGTCATCGAGGAAACCCAATGGAATACCCGTCTCTTACCACATCAGTCGAAGCGAATCTTCTGATTCTGAGGCCAGCTCCAGTTGCCATCACTAGGTGAATGGTCAATCCCATAGACGGTCGAGTCATAGAGGTAGTTGGTCTAAGTTTTACACCATGGTTCAACTCTAATAGTTAGGTAGGTTCTTGATTGAGCAGAGAAGTAAGCAAGTGTAAGGTGAAGGAAGAATGGAGAAAGAGCAGATGGTCAAAAAGCAACTGAAAGCGCGTGGGATATATTTCAAGGGTGTGCATAGGAAATGATGCCTAACAAGAAGCAAACAATGAGCCAAGCGGATTTGGGCTAAACAATTTGGCCAAACAAGATAAAAATATCATGGAGAAAGTTTGCCGAATCGATTTGACAACCTTGGCCACTATCACTAGCAAACCTTTTGAGATGCTTTCGATATTCAATCAGAATCGCAAGGCAGCAGAATGCGTGTCCAGCCTGCGTAGAGGGTTGGAGGGCTATGCGCAGGTACTGTTCTCTTTTCGAATAAATTTTGGGGCTGTTCGGCTTAGAGGGAGCATTCTCATTCGCAAATTCCTTTTGTTAGTTCATGTTATCAAATAGGTCACATCTGAGTTAGCTCGTAAACTTCTGTGAAGTTTGCGAAAATTTTCGAGTGAGCCAGTTGAGCCACTGTCGTCATACGAACTTACTGGACTTTCTGCAAATTCGCTGCCACAAGCCATTCGGCTTCTATCCACTCGGTGCTTCCCACTGAATTCTAACTACGCTCTTAAGTTAATCGGCCTACAGCTGCTTTGGAAATAGCCAGAAGACTCGGCTGATCTATTCACGATTCAAATTTTACGGATCTACATTTCTAGAATTAGCGGCCAGCGCTCTTATTCGCTTTGCGACCTCAAGTCCTTCTCCGACTAATGATTGCACTTCAAATTCGGCCCAAAAAGTAGCAACTGGAAAAGAGCTGATAAGTGAAGCGCGCCCTAAAATTTCTCTCTGAGGATTTTTTCCGCTCTCTTCCTCCCCCCCCCCCACTTCCCACCAAAAAAAAAGGAAAGACTGACCAGAAGCGGGGATTATGTATTGCTACAAAATAGGTACAAAACGTAAAAGCGAAGTACGACTCCCTAGCTGGATGCCTGACATAGGACGTCCCCCTAGCAAATCAAGAATAGGCCCTATAGAGAATCCTCAAGCAGAGAATCCTTCTAGAACCTCACCGCACGAGCGATGTATTCCTGAGAAGACTATGATCAACAAACAAATAAGGGAAATGCGTTGTGTTTGTCTGCCCTATTAAAAGGTCTGGTTTTCATTAATAAACGCTCTTCAACACTTCGCGCTTCACTCCCTCATCTGTTGCCTTCTACACCAGCCAGCCACACTCCTGCCACGACAAATCCCACACGCCTAGATGGTAGGACGCAAAGACGGCGAGGTTACCGTAGAGCGCAGAAGGCTGCCTATTTGAAATGTCTCATTAATCATGAGAAAAATCTACAAACACGTAAAAAAACTGCAGACGAGCTGGCTGATGATGAACGCTACTTGAAATGGGGTCTCAAGTGCAAGCAAATACCGGGAATCAATTTGCATAATTCCTTTGAAAAACAGTTCCTCAAGTTAGAAATACAGCGACTTCGGTAATACGATCTCAAATTTGATAGCGATTGATGGGGAAAACGAGACTCCTACGGAACTTGTTAGTCCAGTCCACAGTAATTCATTAAAATCAAAAACTGCTAGCTCCAGAAATGTCTATAATCACAATATAGTTCGTCGAGGCATAGTTCGGCTCGGTGGGGGCACCTAAGGGTTCTCAGCTGGCCACCTCGTATGAACTTGCAAACCCTGTGACTGAAACGGCTCACCTGTAATACGTCTCAGCTTTACAAGAGAAAACTCATGGATTCACCAAAGTGAGATCTGCTACCATTTACTTAACTAGCAAAGGAACCAGGCTTCTGCGCAAATCACCCTCCAAACCTAATCGCGCCATTTTGTCGCCGCGTACATCCTGAGCAAGTGACAGTTCAAAAACATCGGGTAAAAATTATGACAGCAGTAAAAGTTGAGAAATTTGTAAAGAGCGGGAGCAGCTCGGGGGAGGGCTGCGGCTTCGTCGTGTTGCGGCGGATAAGTTTTCTCGAAGAGCCCATCCAGTAGATTGTGCCGACTCGCTCAACAAAAAGAAGCAATCAATTAGAGACGAGCCCAATTATGGCAATTGTAATCTCCAAAAAAATTCATTTTTACGAGTTTCTTTCGTCTTTACTAAGCCCCTCTTTGAATATTTAAACGGTACAATCAAGGCTGCGTTCAAGTAATTGGTCGGCTCTCACACTGTCGTAGCGAAATATGGGGCCAATAGTATGCATTTTACCGACCCATGATGTCATCAAAATTCGCTATGATTCCGAGAGAAAGTGATATCTTCATATCAAATACAAACTGATTGGCGCTATGGTGCCCTCTGTATCCAATTTTCATAGCTGTTTATATGCGCTCTTATACGTACACTTGAACTAACTTAGAACAATGGATCTAAGTAGTATATAAATAAATGTTCTGTGCTGATCAGAGGCCATTGCCGTCGCGAAGCGTGCATATCGACTTGGCCTCGTAGCACTCTCTTCTTCGCAAGAAACAGTGGGACGCGCTCGCAGCCAACAACGTTCGCACCTGAAACAGTATCAACTTTTCCAAGATGGTCGATTTCTCACAATGCTCTCGTAATTAGCTCTTGTTCCTGCAGTGAGCTATAACAGTTTCTATTAGCGTGAGTGGGCTTGTATTCAGCTGACATCGATGCTCCCAAAAATGTTGCAGAGTTTAGAAGGCCTCCTCCGTCTGATAAGTCAATCGGTCAGAAATCAGTGATATTCCGCTCGATTTCAAGCTACTAGTGAGCTGTTTAGCGGAACAGTCTATGCTCGAAAGTGTCCCCCCCCCCCCTCGGTAGGTAGTCTCCACGTAACAATAGTGTGATCGTGAAGTTATTGTAATTGTAATGCGAGTAATTGCATTGAGGTGACATTGGATTCCACAGCAGAACGTTAACTGTAGGTAAGAGACGATAAAGTCGAATTGGCTCTCATTTTGTTGCCATAGCTACTCTACAAACAATGGCTTTTATTTACGACCCTATTTTACGGATTCATCATCACCCACCTTTGCTAAAGGTGCCATCAATGAAGCCGATTCCCGTCAAAAGTGTCAAAATCTCCCATGCAAACGAATGCCGAAGTAACGAACCTTGTCCTTTATTCGTAAATCTGCTGGTTCAGGAAAATTCTTATTGATTCCTTTGTTTGTTGGATGCTTCACGTGCACATCTTTGCGTACCTAAAACACAGTACACCACCATTATGGTTCAACCTTTATCGGCCTAGCTATCTCTCAAACCCACTTCAGCGTAGTACTGCACTCGTCCAGGGTAGTCCTTGTACCGATCACAAACGTGCTTAATCAACCCGTTGTATCCGTGCTCACCAATCTTCAAGTATACATCCGGATGTGTTTCATTTGCATAGTAGCAGCCTAGATTGGAGGTGGACGATATGGGCGGAGCCTTGGAAAAAGTCTAAATTTTTGTACGAGTTTATACTTACCGACCACCCATCGCCCAGTCTCTAGACACAACCACTGGAAACGGCCATCGCGGAATTCCGAACGAACCTTCTTGACCGAACCATTGACAAGACAGTGAGGTTCTGAAAGAACAAAAATAACACCAATAATGGTAAATAATGGCAAATAATAATAAAAAATGGTAAATATTGATAAGTGGTGATAAATGATAACAATAATTGATCCTTGCAAGGAATGTTCACCTGAAAACCGTGACTGACCGAATGTTTTTCAATTGATAAACATGGTATAACTGCATACATTTTTCACAATCTCCTGGCAAGCGTTTTCATTGATCACCCACTGAGAAAAGCACCGAGCTCCGCCCCCCGACAGCTCCACCCACTGCAAAGATACGGCCAAAGACTCCTTTGCATCCCTATATTTATTTTTTTACAGTGTTTTCAGCTCCTTTACATTGAAAATTGCACCCGTGTTTTACCCAGAGTTGACTGCGTCAGATATTCTTGTACCGAACCGTTCCAGGGAAATAAATCACTTCTCGTTTTTTCTAACCGCTAACCGAGTAAGCAATTGACTAATTAACGACGAGCATGGGTGCTGTCAGTCGGCGAAGAGGTGGGCGAAGGAAGAGCTGCCAGTTCAGGCGCCGGAAACTCATACTTCAATGTGCTTTTACTCTTTGGGCGCGCTTCTCTTTGTCTATCGTATACAGCAACGAAGGTCGCTTTCGTAGTTCGAGACACGATCGGACCAATGAGGAAACGGTTGTTTTGCTCAGTGTAAGATTGCCGCCCACTTATTACGCCATCTGCGTATATCCGCAAATGTAGCCCTTTAAGTTCATATGTTTCTCACCTGAATCATATTTCAGACGTTGCTCATTTGCTTCACAACTGTGCCACAGCAATCCTACGGTTCGATTCTCTCCAACCTTTACAGTCTCCTTGGGCGGAGTCCCAACTTCACATCCGACAAATTTTCCGTCGGTTTCTGCTGCCAACAATAGTTTGCAGAATATATTGCCCTAGCAGCCTACTAAATAAACATCCCGCAACCCTTGCATGATGCGGAACCATGCCCCTTTAGGGCTGCGTGTGGGCGGGTGGATCATACTTTCTCCCCAGCCAGCAAACGAGCGACCAAGCATCGTCCACCCAGTGTTCCCGAACGCCCGCAGCGTCTTAGATGGTGGGGAGTTTTTTCCTGGAGCTATAGCGCTATCAATCTACTGGCTGTCAGCGACTACCGCCGATCGAGAGTCAGGCGGGTAATATGATTCGTGCACGGGGTCAGCATCAACTTGTGTCAAACCCCATGGGGGGCTCGCACTTTCTAGCTTCGGAGGGCCGGGGTCGCTATTTGCATAAGCACAAATTTAGGTTTTGGTAGCCTTGATTTTTCCTTGCTGGAAAAGGTCGCCTCGCTTCATCAGATTTTTAAGGCTCGTTTAATACAATTTTTTTATTATGCCCACTAATTTGCATTTTAGTATCGCACCGTGTGATATACGTTGCCATCAGTAATTATCATTACACAGTAATTATAATAAACCCGACGCTCGACAACCTTTTACGCCCCGACTATTACTCATCGCCTCGTCCGTCATGTAAAGAGCCCAGCTTGCGCACGGCGGATCAATGCACGCCGACCGGCGCGGGCGGGGTTCGGCCTGCGACCCCATTTTCGTAGGCGGGAACGCGGGCGGGTAAGTTGTACCCCACACCGACATTTCGCACATCCCCATGGTGCATCCTGTGACTTGAGTGATAGACGGAGCTGGTCACTGGTGGACGCCGGCAGACGCTGCAGATGCTAGATCGATATCTATACTTTCCTGGTTGATGACGCTGCCTGACGCTCGCAACGCTGATGGACGCTGCCGCAAAGTATGAACGCAGCTTCAGGAGGCAACTTCCCCATGAACGATTAATTCTCAATAAGACTTACGCATTTGTCCCATCACATTCGTAGACCCACGTGTCGTCGTCAATCCATGTATCGCCGTCTTTCCAGCAAATTCCATACCAATCGCGGCAGTCACATTCATCTGGATGAAACGACACCTATGATGGGAGTGGGCAACTGTGGGAAAGCGAAACCTACCTGGGAGCACCTCTACGTTGCTATCGCTTCCAGTCAGGCCAACTAATAGCATTACAGCGAAGCTGATGATCAAAGCAAACATACTACTGAAAATGGGAATGAACAATCGATTACCATTTGACTTCCTAGACTGAAGGCACGGGACCGTTAAGCTTGAACAAATTTGGAAAATTAGTTCAGGTACCAAATGGAAGCCAGTAAATAAACCGCTCCACCTGATAAAGAACCTCTCAGAAGGTACTGTAGTACCGGCAGAATATTTGCTTCTAGTAATCGCTCCTATCTCATATGTTACAGTAATACATTGGCACGTATTCACACCGAAGCACAAGTAAGGAAAACAATACGGTAGCGATTAGCTAACTATGTGTAGCCATGTAAGTAATGTGAGGAGAGAATAGCATCGAGATAGCGGCTAGCAGTCACCACCGAACCGGCTGAACTCGTCCATTTCGGCATTATCAACAAGATTAAGCTGCGCAATGAATCTTCTCTTCGTAGAATCCCATTACAGCTGCTTTCACTCGCGGCGCCATCTCGGCTCGCCTGACGAACCATCAACCACTATTATTCTATCTCATAAAATAGGTGTAGCTTACAGGCTGACTATAAGAGCGACTGCCCGCCATAAAAACGTCGCGGACCGTAGAATGTCTTCAGAGATCCTTCCGGGCACGAACTTTGCAGCAGATTGGATGCTGGAATAAAAGGAAACTTGTAAGTTGAGTGTCATCGATGCCACAATATCGTTGTCAGAGCCTCACTTGACCCTATAGAGCGTTTTTTGATTGTTCTTTCTTGTCCTAGGCGCACTATCTACGTGCATACCCCTCTCCATCATGGGGAAAAGAAAATTCGCCGTTGGCGCACGCGCGGCGCGTGCCGCGCTATGCCGCTGCAATCAGAGCACACCGTTGTTGTGATGATCACAACGGGGTACTCGTACTTCACCGTGAGAGTTTAGAGGGGGGTCGTATCTGGTCTGAGAAAAAATTATCTGGTAGCTGATTTCGCTTTGTTTCACGGACGACTATAAGGGGGGGGGGGGTCGTATTTGCCGCCTGTTGATGGAGGGAGATTGCAAAAGAACTATAAACAACTACTACCAAAGTCTTACACGATAGTTGAAAATGAGTTAACTTTAAATCCTGACGACCCTTCTCGCCTCTCCCCCCGCCCCGCTAGACGGAAAATTCTTCGGATGAAAACTGAGACTGGAAATTTTTCGGAGAAAAAATGATCTATGATATGGTAGGTAGCAGATGGGGAAGGGGAGGTCGTATGTTTTGTACAGAAATGATCACAACGCTATGGCGTGCCTTGGCTGCAATAGTGCGACGAGGGACTGCACACTGACAGACGCTGCCCCATCACTGCGATCTGATAGATTAGCTCTTTATCAGCCCGCGTTACCTTCAGTCGATAAATAGGCGCCAGCGTTCAACACTAATGGTAGTCACAGTGGAATCGGTAATAGGGCCATCGTTGTTTGGGGTTCTCCTCCTAAGGGGGGGGGGGGCGGTACTTTGATCGCTGGGAAGAGGGGGGTCGTATGATTATGTACGACTGTACAAGGCAGGAGGGAGGGGATTCGTATTCTCTTTGGCGGTCCGCCTCCCCGCTCGAAGTTCTATAGAGGAGCGAACCTAGGGGGTGGGGGGGGGTCGCACCAGGTTCTCCGAACGAGGAGGGGGAGTCGTACGGAACTGACGAACCCCGCCTCAATGGGTGCTGATCGGCATAACATATCCCTAAGAAAAGGTTTTACGGTTGGGATCCCCATGAAAAACAGGAAGTATTTGCTCTAATGAGAAGTGTTCTCGGGTTCCTGTTTCAAACTGCGCAACCGCCCCTCCCACCTGCTCGACTGACGTTTTTGGAGAAGATGTGAAGAGGTGAGTGGATTTTCAGGAACTTCGAAAACGTTGAAGTCGAAAAGCTTAGGGATGGAAAAGGTAAGATGGTTGATTGGGAGATTTTTCGGGGAAAGGAATTTGAATGAGGAGGAACTTCTGAGAGGTGGACGTATTTTATGCTTCAAATTTTCCCAAACGGTGGGAGGACGTACCTTGCTGTCCATGCCTGCGTAGTGGCAATTTTCACGTTCTGACAGTTTATCTGGATCTCTGAACCACGAGTTCTGTCTATTTTTTGGTCTTTGCCTTTGAACGCCATTTTTTTTCTTTTTGAGGCTCAGTATCTCAAACGAACTTTTTTCGCAAAGTATTACAACCAAGTTAACGAATTGTTCCTATATCAATGAATATGGTATTGCTGGCATAAATGAATAGCCTATGGTATTGCTGGCAAACTGAAAGCGTTGGAAGGTGCGGAACTGACCATCTGTGCCTTGAAGTGTTTTCTTTTTCAATTATTTTTGTTTCTTTTTTTTCCAATGTGATGGAGGGGGAAAGTACGGAGGGGAGGTCGCTCTGGAAAGTAAAACGTGGTGGTGTCCTACTTAGCGACTTTCCTTGACGCAATTTTGACCCTGATCTTGAAGTAGCCGTCCTACACAAGCAGCCGTTTGGAGCAACCGATGCTTGAAGGGGTGCTTTCGATATACCAAGTTGGGCTCGTAACCTCTCAAGAAATGAAAGGCTTGTACGTCCTGAGCAAGAATCGGTCACATACACATTTCAGTCGGTAAAGCAACTATGAAGAACTTGCACTGCTAAAACTCCAATCCGTAGCAGATCAAATAAGAATGGGGTTCAGGGCTTTCAAAGCCACTTAGCCGACCCGGTCTGCCGTTTATGGATATCTATAGCTTAGCACTCTGATCAAGAGCGGCAGGATAGCCGAGTGGTTGAGAGTGTAGGCTCATGTCTCACTCTGAGCCACGAGTTCGATCCCTGCCGAGGCACAAACCTGCCTTGCAAAAATTGCAAAAATGGGGACGATACCAGCGTCAGGCCCAGGTTGACAGACCGGCTGATGGAGAACCTGTCGCAAAAATCGTAAAACATCCGTGTTAATGCTAGGACGTCACCCAAAAGTGGCGCGGAACCCTCGCACCGTCAGCGTGTTCTCCATAAATTGTTCGAAAGGGCAAGCGATAGCCACTGGTGGAAATTGAGCGAAAGTCGCGTCAAACCAACCCCCTCCCCCTCCCTTGAAACGCCCAAAGCAGGACTGTATAGTTTTGACTGGAAAGACCACCTCTGTTTAACCCCAAAAGTCCGACACCCTTCCAATTTATGCGCGCCTCTTCAGCAAGCCAAAAAGGGCCCCTTACCGGTGCGACTCAAATACGACCCCCCCCCGACCTTCCAACGACCCATGCC